CCAAACACCTTTTCTCAGGAAAATAATGCAGAATGTGTTTTACTAAAAAGGAGGTATTAGATTTGTGGATAAACAGACGTGGGATCCAGAAATCAGCAGTTCTGACACCAGAAGAAATCGTGAGGGTGACATTAAATGGAGGTAACAGATGACACAGACAGCTCTGGATCCAGACGGCTCCGCCTGGGTCAGGAGGCCCCGGAGAGATTGCCTCAAGATTGTCAGCTTAACAAAAGGCCTAACATACCTAGAGATTTTGAACAGATTAAATAATTGAGAAAATATTTGGATTTGTCTTACTGTTAAGTACATAGAAGAATTAAGTCAACAAATAAAATTAAATTCTTTTGCTCCAGGAAAACAAAATGTTGTACAAGAAGGGTAATTATAGTCTACTATAGGATTTAATAGTGAATTCATAATCTATATAATGATAATATGAATACTAAATGTTGATCTTCTAATTAAAATTAAATAACTGTCTTAGTTATTGAATGCTGCTGGAACAGACCACAGATTTATTCCTTTACAGTTTAGGCTGCGTGAAGTCCAAGTTCAGAACGCATCTCTCTCAGGAAAGGGCCTTTCTCTGTAGGCTGTGGAGGGAAGTCCCATTTCCTCAGCACCTGGCAACCCAGTGGAGTGGAGTCTCCACGTGTTCTGACATTCTCCATGACAGAGAGCTGCTCGGTGCGGAGACCCGGGTCCGAAAAGACACACTTCACTGCTGGTGATTCCTGCGATGCTGACCTTCCCCCCACCCACCAGCTCCTCCTTCTCTCCCGTTACCTCTGGTGAGGAGGAACGTGTAGGGTACACCCTGGGGACTCCCCTTAGGACTGAGACGGGGCTGGGGAATGCTGCGTTCCCACCCCACCCCTCCGGCTGCTGTTGGCTTCAGCAGAGCAGATCACATAACTTCTACCTTATGTTCATGTATCAGGGAACTCCGGTGGCCTAGGGAGTTGTGCTGCCAACCCAAAGGTTCATGGTTCAAATCCACCAGCTGCTTTGAGGGAGAAAAATGAACCTTCTCCTCTTGTGTGATTTAAAGCCTCTGAAAACCCACGGAAGGATCAGCTCCGAGTCAGTTCCAGTGAGTTTTTAAGTACATGTGTTTGGGGGACACAATTCATGGCATCCATCAGTACCTGGAGGGTGAAAGGCCTGGGAAGGTGTGTGTCGGGGGGGAGGAAGCACGGAGCACAGTGAGTGGACCTAGCAGCAGTGCCTAGCCTCTCCTAGGACTCTTGGCAATGTCCAGAGACCCTCTTGACTTAATAACTCAGAGAGGAGTGTGGGGCCGCTGCTGGCTTCTGGCTGGGAAAGGCCTAAGACACAGCTGAACTGCCTGTAATACACAGTGCAAGCCACACAGCACCTCCAAAGAATTATCTGGCACATGACGGTTCGATAGTACTTACCTGGCGTTGTAATCCTGAAGGCACGTGGTTCGGGACCACCAGCCTACATTTCTCCTAGTTGTATGGTGATGGTGCTGTGATGTTTGGAAAGGGTGGACCGGAATGGCTGTAATCCTTCCGTTTGCCGAGCTCTGAGCCGCGTTGTTCTGTTCTGTAAGTGATGAATCAACAGAATGGAGCAGGGATGGAGTAGTGGAATCTCAGCCTTCACTCTGGAAGCCCAGGTTCGGTTCTCACCAGCGCCCTGCAGGTCCAGCCCCATCCGCCTGTCGGGGTTGCTGCTGTGACCCCAGACAGGTTTCAGCAGTGCTCCCAGGGAAGACAGGCTGGACCGATGTCCCCACGAGCACCATGCCAGAAAGGAACTCCGGCCGCCCTCAGTGTGACCTTGTGTTATACGAGGGTCCTGTGCAGCCAGGCTGCTCCGGGGGCCTACTGGGTAAGGAGTTGTACCGGCAGTCCAAAGGCAGGCAGTTCAAATCCATCCACCACTCTGTGGGAAAAACACAAGCAGCCTTCTGTCATGTGATTTCTCGCCCCTAAAGCCCACTGGAGGGTCAGCTATGACTCAGTCCCAATGCGGCAGCATGGACCAAGTGCAGCTGACAAGTCCACAGATGATGTCTAAAAGCTAAACACCAGAACTAAAACATCAGTAAATGGCCCTCGTTTTCATTGAGTAAGTCGACACACAGCTGACCCTCCAGCGGTTCCTCAGAGGCTGTAAGTCACACAGGAGGAGAGAGCCCATCTAGCTCCCCGGAGGATTCAGACATCTGGAGAGGTGCTGCCTCTGGGTCAGCTGTGCAGCACTTTACACACTGCACCACCCCACCCCCTTAAACCCCAAGCTTGTGTGTGCTTGTTAGAGGTGGTGATAAATGGAAAAGAAACAAGCTTGGGGCTCTGGGGGTGGAGCATGGCCTGTGAAGCTGTTGCTTTTACGAAGAAACCTGGCAGAACCCTGGCTCTGGAAATTATGTGCTTACAGACAACTTTGGTACCTTAATGTGGGGGTGGAGATGATGGATGGATGGATGGATGGATGGATGGATGGATAGATAGGTCAGTGGATGGGATGAATGGATGGGAGGGGTGGGTGGGTGGATGGATAGATAGATAGATCATTGATAGATGATAGATAGATAGATAGATAGATAGATAGATAGATAGATAGATAGATAGAGCTGGATAGATGATCGATAGATAGATAGATAGATAGATAGATAGATAGATAGATAGATAGATAGATAGATAGATAGATGCAAGAAGAAAGCAGCCTGGGAAGCAGGTGTGTGGAGTGCTCTGAGCTGAAGCTGGGGACTAGGTGTGGGCTCCTGCCTCCCCCTGGGGATAGTCATGGACTTAGTTTGGGTCCTTATGGAAGCAAACTGCCTTCTTATCTCCCATGGAGCAGCCGGAGGGCTTAAACTGCCAATCTTTTGGTTAACATCAGAGTGCATTATTTCCTGTGTCCCCATAACTCCTTAAAACCCCACAGGTCTTGGAGTTGGGATTTCTGCATGTTTTTGAGGCTGCAGGTCACTCAGTACAGTACGTAGGGATGGTGTGTGGGGAGAGCTGCTCCCTTTTCTTACCATGGACTGGATCAGAGGTTCTGGAAGTCCCTACTCCAAGAGTGTCACCTCTGTGAGCCTCAGGACTTGGTTGCGCCCTGTTTAGCTATTGTTGCAAACCTTAAAGTTGAAACTGACCCGTAGCTGCCCTTCCACAGCTTTGCAGAGGCAGTAAGTTGCGCAGGACTCCTCTCGTGGAGGAGCTCATGGGTTTGAACCAGGTGCTTTTGCACTGGCAGCGCAATTCCAGGCTGAAGGGTTTGGAAGACAGCAAAGCCCGTGCGAGGTCTGCATGGCAGGTTGAGCATGTGAGGAAGCAGCACACACATCACCTTTCCCGCCATGCAGTTCCCATGCCCACGTCAGCAATGTGGAACATCCGTCTTGCGCACGATGTGTGGTGGGAAGGGGACTGGAACTCTTCCCTTCCTACCCTGTCATTTCCAAGAGAAATCACACCCCTGGTCAGCCTGAGTCCTCGCCAGTTCTTCTCCTGCCCCTGTGACATCTGGGTGCATTGCAGCAAACACCCTCTGATGCTCTGCCCTCACCGCTCACGTGCTCACCTGTGCACCTGCAGCTTCCTCAGGAAAGCACCGAGCCTGCGGCTTGAGAAGCCCGCCTTCCCTCTAGGAAAGTGACCTCTCTGATGCCCCTGGGCAAGGGAGGGAGGTCTGATCCCAAGAGCGGGGAGATCTGTGACTTCAAACCACACAGGGAAGCTGCTGCTGCTGTTGTCAGGTGCCGTCAGGATGAGTACAACTTTTAGTGACCCAATAAACAACCAATCTGACCCCTGTCCTGTCCTGTCCTGTCCCGTCCTCACCGTCTCGGACACAGCCGAGTCATGGCTGCAGTCACAGTGTCAGTCCACCCGCTTGAGGGTCTCCCTCTCTTACACTGACCCTCTGCCTTTCCGAGGATCATGTCCCTCCCCAAGGAACAGCCTCCCCAGCAACATGCCCAAGTGGGGTGGAGCCTCATCTTCCCTCCGAGAACACCCTGCACGCCCCGTTCTAGACAGATCTGTCTGTTCTCTTCTCAGTCAAAAGACGGAGGTTAGGACCTGAATATCTCTCGGAGGACACCATTCAGCCCATCGTGGGTAGTGACTGGGAGGGGCAGGACGTGGACAGAGTGCAGTTCATGAGTGCTGGGCCCAGCCCACAGCTGCTTTGCCATATGGCCATGGTCTGTGTGCACGTCCTTTCCGCGTGCGTTGGCCAGGTGTGGACGGTGAGGCAGAAGGGCCAGGCTTCTGGATGGTGCAGAGTGTGCTGTGAACTTGCGGTGGGGACAGGGTTCCCTGGCTGTCACCACAGTGGTGTGACGTAGGACAGCCCCCCCCCCCCGTAGCATTTGTCAGCGGAGGTTTCATCCCCCTTGGGTGGAGGGGCTGCAGAGGAACTGAAGTGTCAATAGACAGTCCCCCAAAATGTGTGAGAAGCAATAAACTGTGAAGCTGACCACTGCGGCTGTGCTGTACCCAGACCCTGAGCATGTTTGGGGGGCTTTCGGTACAGCTCCACAGGGGAAGGTGCCCAGAGAGACATTGATGGTGCACTCAGCCCCACTGAGAGTTGCACCCACAGAAAGCCAGTGCCCGGGAAGGGTGCCGGCCCTGGGACACCAGCCCCACAGCCTCCTGGCCTCTGCAGCCCCTTCTACGTCACTGACACAACACAAAACTAGTATGGTTGTTAGTTGTCAAACTGGGTCCTGCACCGTCGTCTGGGGTGTTGGCCTGCGAGGCCTGACAGGGCCAGTGTGTCTCAGTCCCTGTCCCTGAGGTCACCGAGGGCTGGCCTTCCAGCCATGTGTCCAGCAGCCTTCAGGGCGATCACGGGCCCCTCACCTCTGATGCTTCCCGCTCTGCCCTCATCTGGAAGCTCTGCCGAAGTCGTCCCTAGTGATGACAGTCCTGCAGTCCGAGATGCCAGTGGACTGGCTCCCTGTCTGCACATCCACCTTGCTGACTCTCCGTTCTCTCTCCTCACAGGTCAACAATGAGAATGTCGTGAAGGTTGGCCACAGACAGGTGGTGAACATGATCCGCCAGGGGGGCAACCATCTGGTCCTCAAGGTGGTCACGGTCACCCGGAACCTGGACCCAGACGACACAGCCAGGAAGAAAGGTGCGCTTTCTACCCCGTCTTCCCACCCCATTCTCCTGGACCTCCCACCCCCCCTGTCTGTCCTGCCCCTCAGTCTCCCAGCTACTCCCAGTTCTCCACTCGCTCTCCCCAACAACCAGCCAATGCCTACACTCTGTGGTCCCAGCATCCCACTCTCCCAGTCAAGCCCAGCACTCTGTCGTCCCAGCGCCTCACCTTCCCTGGCCATCGCTGAACCAACACTTGCCTCCTGCTCACCCCGTCCCCCCACTCCCTGTCAAGCCCTGCCTCCTGCCACCTCAGCACCCCACTCTAGTCTCCACTCTCTGGATTCCCCTTTCCAGGTATCATGCTCACCTGCTGTCCCCCTCTGGGCCTCTCACTCTCCCAGTTCCCCCCTACACCCTGCCATTTCACCCCCCAATCTCCTGCGCCCTGCTGTCCCAGCCCCCATTAGACTGTATGCACAACTCTGAGTGCAGACATATGCCTGGTGGGGAGGAGTGGCCTTGGAGGGACGCTATGGGTCAGATCCCTGTCTGTCAACAGAGCATTCCGCCTGCCCAAGGCTACAGCAGGCCCAGTATGTGCAGGTGTGGGGGTGCCCTCTCCTGTGGGGGAGCCAGATGTCTCCCCACAGTAGGGAGAGAGGGGGTATTCAAGCAGGTACAGCCCTGGCGGCATGCACCCAGAAGGCTGTGGGCAGGGGGCTCCAGGCTCAGCTGCCGTCCAGGGCCAGTGACGAAGCCAGTGGAGCCCACTCAGTCTCTGTCTCCGTGTCCAGCCCAGCCAGGGGCTCCAGCTCCCTGGAGGAAGGACCGGCTCAGTGAGAGGTGTAAACTATGAACATGGGGGCACTGAGAGTCTCCCTCCAGGTCCTGCATCGGTGTGGGGGAGCCCCACAAGCTGCTGGAGAGTGAGTTCACACAGAGAGGGCCTCGGCAGATTGGCGGGGGCGGGGACAGCCTTGGCACTTCCGGGGACACACGGGCTGTGTGTGGACTTGGCTGCCACACAGCGCACACACCGTTCACTCTGACGTGTGGCCAGCACACAGCCGCTGCGCCTGCCCCTCGTCCTGCACGTGGTCAGAAGGTGACAGGGGCCACCGTGCTCCAGGAGACGTGGGCTCGGTGAGGGACGAGGAGGGGACCCTGAGCGACATGCGTCCTCTTCTCTCTCTGCCCGTCAAGCTCCCCCTCCGCCCAAGCGCGCTCCAACCACCGCGCTCACGCTACGCTCCAAGTCCATGACCTCAGAGCTGGAGGAGCTCGGTAAGCCTCACAGGGCCACCTGTGCCGCCGTGTCCACGCGCCCGCCACGCCCAGGCCCTGCATGTGTGTGTCCCCGAGCGGCGGGCGGCCTGAGGACTCGGGCTGGCGGGGCGCGGGGCTGGCAGGGCACTGGGCTGGGCCGCTGTCCGTCTTCTCTAACATCATTTTGTTTTGAATTTTTGGGCCTCTCACTAGTGGATAAAGGTAAGCCCCCCACGGTGTCCCCGAAACAGCCCCTCAGCTGTCTAGGGGACCCCATCGCCATCCACTCGGCCCTGCCCCTGACATTCAGCTCAGACCCGAGCCTCAACCAGCGTGGATTTCAGGGAGACAGCGTGTGTTCTGAATCATGGGCTCCTGGTGGCCAGTCCAAGGAGCAGAGCATGGTTCTGGGCTGGCCAGGGGGGGTGGGAGGGCACGAGTGCCCACCAACGTGTCAGGGTCCATTGCAGTGGTGGTTGACTTTGGGGCTGATGTGAGCCTCTGGGGTCCCTGCCCATCACTCTGCGGGGTCCTGGGCTGCCCTGGAGAGGAGATTAAGGACTCAGCCCTGGTGGAAGAGAGGCCCAAGCATGTCTAGCAGCAAAGGGTAAGCGTGTCACTTTCCCTGGGCTTGGCTCAGCCTGGGCCAGGCATCCGGGGCTGGGATCTGACATCAAGGCAGCCTGAGTCTAGTCTCACGTGGGAGAGACAGAAGCCCCCTGTCCACCGTTCCATCAGTCTATATCCCCGGAACGGCTTCTGGAAGAATGCTGGTCCACTCACCAGAAACCACTCGCCCTCATCCCTGGGATCAGAAAGGTGTTCCCACGACTGACACACCCCATGGGGCTACCCAAGCCCCTTACCCTCTCCCCCAACCAGAACCAGTGGACCTCCCCCTGCAGTCCCTCCTCCATCCTCAGAACCAGGAGAGCCCCCCCCCCTTCCAGAACCACGGCCTCCCGCCTGGGCCCACTCCCTCCACCCACAGGAACCAGTCCCTTCCTCTGCGCCCCCAGCCAGCAGACTCCTTTCTCCCAGGCCCCCAAAGCCAGTATCTATGAGAACAAGACCCACTGGGGACCCCTTAAATTCTCCTGTTGTGCCTTGATCCTGTCTAGGGAGCCCCAGCTCTCTCTTGAGGTGATGTCATGGGATCTCAGCTTCCTGGGAGTACACACAAGCAAGGCATCTTATTAAAGGGGAGCCCCCACTATCCACACACACAGGCGCCCCAGTGGGCCCCTCTCCCCGCAGCCCGGGGCTGTCCATGGGCCACTTCTGTGCACGCTGTCTGTTCTGGTAGGGCCTGGCAGGGTACTTGTTAGAGGAAAAGTTCCAGAAAGTTCTCTGTCCATCCCAGGGAGAGCCATGTTTGCAAGGTAGATAGGGCAGGAGGGGCCGTGTCCCTGAGGCAGCCAAGAGCCTTCCCACCCCACCTCTGGCCCCACAAGCTCTTGTCCCGGCCACTTGACCCCAAAGACGGCCCGAGACGAGGTGGCAGCCCCCGCGGTGGCTTGGGCCTCTCACGCTGCCCTTTCTGTCCACAAGCCTCCGTCCGGAAGAAGAAGGGTAAGCGGACTAGCAGTGTCTGTCTCCGCTCGTACCCGTCACCCGGGTCGCAGCCCGCGCCCGTCACCGTGCTCTAGAATGTTCCGTGAGCTTGTGTTGTCTTTTCCTGTTCCGGGCCCTGACTGAGGGACCGCGCCACGGACACACGTCCGCGTCCATCTGTCGTCTGCTTTGCTTCCCTCCTCTGTGGCCCCTGAGCGTGTGTCTCCCGGGGCCGTGTCCACGTCGTCCAGGGAGGCCCGGCTGCCACAGCCAGGCAGGCCTCACCTAGTAGGCACCCAGTGAGCAGTGCAGAGTCCTGTGGGCGGTGTGGCCCTTGACTGTGTGTCCTGGGCTCCCCGAGGCCACCCAGCTGGGTGTGCAGACGGGCACTGAGCCCACCGCTGCCCCAAACTGGGACCAGGTTGCTGCCTTTGGCCCCGGAAGTTTCCTGTCTATGGGGCATAGTGTCTGTCTGGGGTGGGAGGTGGGAGGGCGTGCACCGCTGACACTCACACCTCATGTGCCCACATGGCTGGTGTGGGACCCCGTGGTCCCCTCTCTGACGATGTCCTCACTCAGGGATGCCCCTCACTGTCTGTGGAGGGGCTCCGCTCAAGGCCAGCACAAAGCTGGCTCTCTGGGCTGGGGCGGGGGTACCCTGCATCATTGGCCTGAGGCCTGCCTCAGACCCAATGTCTCGATCAAGGGGCTGGCCATTGAGACTCCATGGGGCGGCCACGCAGCAGGTCTCTCACCTGGAACCCCCAAGCCAGACACTGGCCGGTGCCAGGACTCAGGCCCTGCTGGCCGCCTCTCTCAGGAGCCTCCCTGAGGCCTGCACCGTTGCCCCCAGGAATGGCTAGCACAGCATGGGGGGCTGGGAGGGATCCCAGAACGATGTCTGCTGAGCACTTCTGTGAGGGCACCCTGCTCGAGGTCTCGGCCAGTCGGTAACCTCGGGGCCACAGGAAGCTTCAGCGGTCAGGAAGGAGGGGGTGGTCCTGTGCTGGCTGTGTCACTGCGCCATCCTGCCCCCAGGACTGTGGGTCGTACACCCCCTGATCATGGCGGAAGGTGCAGCAAGGGCCTGCGTGAGGGAGGGTCCGACCAAGTAGACCAGCAGATCTGAGGTCCAGACTCATCCTCATGGACACGGATAGATGTGGGGGCAGGAAGACCACAAAGGGCCTATCTCCTAGGAGGCCATGGTCTGGGCGTCCGTGTCCTGGGGGGACCAGGGTCCAGCAGGTGGAGGGGATGAGGGTGTAGCAGACAAGGGAACCAGAGATCCAGCAGGTACAGGGAACCGGTGTCCAGGACAGAGGGGCATTGTGGGTCCTGCAGGTGGAGAGGCTGAGCACCCAGCAGGAAAGAGGACCAAGGGTCCAGCAGGTATGAGCACTAGGGGTTCAGTAAGGGAGGACCTGGGGTCCAGCAGAAAGAAGGGACTGGGGATCCAAAGGTGGGAGGACCAGAGGTCCAGCAGGGAGGACCTAGGGTCCAGCATGTGGGGGTCTGGGAACTCAGCAGGAAGGAGAGACTGGGTGTCCGGCAGGTGAGAGGACTGGAGGTCCAGTGAGAGAAGACCTAGGCTCCAGCAGGTGTGGGTCTGGGGATTCAGCAAACGGGGGAGACTGAGGGTCCAGCAGACAGAGAGAACCAGGGTCCAGTAGGCAGGGGGGCCCGGAGCCCAGCAGACAGAGAGAACCAGGGTCCAGTAGGCAGGGGGACCAGGAGCCCAGCAGACAGAGAGAACCAGGGTCCAGTAGGCAGGGGGACCAGGAGCCCAACGGGTGGAACAAGGGATTCAGCAAAGAGAGACCAGGGGTCCAGCAGGCAGACATTGGGGGTTCAGCAGATGGGGGGCTGGGAGTCCAGTAGGCAGGGGAATCAGGGGTACAGCAGGCAGACATTGGGGGTACAGCAGGCAGACATTGGGGGTTCAGCAGGCAGGGGGACCAGGGGTACAGCAGGCAGACATTGGGGGTTCAGCAGGCAGACATTGGGGGTTCAGCAGGCAGGGGGACCAGGGATAGAGCAGGCAGACATTGGGGGTTCAACAGGCAGCAGGACCAGGGGCACAGCAGGCAGACATTGGGGGTTCAGCAGGCAGGGGGACCAGGGGTACAGCAGGCAGACATTGGGGGTTCAGCAGGCAGGAGGGGTAGGAACCCAGCAGGCAGGAGGACCAGGGATCCTGCAGCAGAGGTCATTGGGAATTCAACATGGGGGTGGGGCATGGAGTCTAGCAGGCAGGGGAACCAGGGGTCTAGCAAGCAGGGGACATTAGAGGTTCAGCAGGCAGGGGGACTGAGAGTCCAGCAGGCAGGGGGACTGAGAGTCCAGCAGGCAAGGGTACCAGGGGTCCAGCAAGCAGTGGTGACTCTGTGTCCTGCGGGGGTTACTAAGGGTTCAGCAGGTGAGCGTATTGGGTGTTCAGCAGGTGTGAGGGAGTGGGAGTCCAGCAGGCTGGGAAACTGGGGGGCCACCAGGCAGAGGGCCTGGGAGCTGTTCAGCAGGAGAGAGACCTGGGTGAGCCTCAGCTCCCTGTCCACGCAGTGGGACCTGTGCCGGCACGTGGCAGGAGCGTGGAGGTGTGCTGTCCACCCACCTGCACCAGGCTCCTCTCAGGCTGCCCCAGAGGCCTGAGCCACGCTCACATGCTGAGGCCCGTTCGACTCATGTCAGCCCTCCATCAGGTCTCTGGGCTGTAAGTTTTCTCCTGTGGAGCAGCTGCTGGTTTTGAACTGCTGATCTTTTCCTTAGAAGGCCAGCATGTAAAGAATGAGAGTGAGCATCCCTGAGACTCCAGAGAAAGCCTCCAGTCCCAGCTCTGCAGCTGCTGGTGAGCCTGGGTCCTAAAGTCCCTCTTCTCAGGTAGCAGCAGGAGGTTGCTGAGGACTCACTGTGGCCCCGGATTCTGTGCTGTGTTGTCATAGGCAGCGCTGGACCCTCTGGCCAGGTGGCCAGTAGGGTGGGTTCTGGTCCTCTGGGGCCCTTCTATGGGCAGCCACTGACACCATTTCCCAGCCCAGCTGAGGTCTGAGGGGGGCCCTTTATCTGTTCCCCATGGTGCCACTGTGTTGGTATAAAGAGTAGCATCTGGAAGAGACGCAGCCCCTGGCTCTGCTTTGATAGCATCGTAAGCATCCAGTGCTTTTGTCCGTCTTGGGGGACACGTCGCAGTCATAGAGAAAAGCCTACAGTCTGTGCTCTGTCCCCCCAAAAGGGGACCCAGACAGGTAAGGGAAAAGAGTCTAGAGGGTCAGACACAATGATACAAAGGACAGAACCCCACAACCTCAAACCCTGAACCTCAATCAATGAAGTTGGTGGCCCCAAAGCTGAGAGTCCCGAGAAGCTTACAGCTGGGAGCCCAGAGAAGGTTCTGGGAAGTGTTGGTGATCGTACAATGCCCTTCCTGTCCAGTGGGTGTCGCAGGATGGTGGAAACAGAGTCACTGAGGTTCTCATCGGTCTGGGGAGGGCCCCAGGGTCTACACCTCTGCCTGCACCTGGTTCAGGGCTGGGGTTCCTCCTCCTGTCTAGGGGAGGTGTGCAGAGTGGGGTGTCTGCTGACATGGGGGCACACTGCATACTTTTCTGAGTGACCTGTGCTCAAATTGCTTCCGGTAGAAGGCAAACATAGGCTTAGGTGACAGGCAGGACACTGATCTTCCTCCCGTCCTCCTCTCATCCTTTGTGAGGGCAGGGCAGTAGGTGCTGCTTCCTGTGGGGAACAGGAGTGCATGACCCTCTGTCCCTACCCTGTGCACATGCCCCGCCCTTGCACATGCCCCCCTCTCTGTGCACCCCACCTGGTGCACATGACTCACCCCTGTGCACTCCCATCTGGTGCATGTACGTGCCCCACCCCTGCACACCATCACCCCCTAGCCCCCAATCCTCGCACACACCACACCTCGTGCACACACCATGTCCACACACACCCTCAGCCTCACACACACCCCATCCCCTGTACACCACACCTCATGCACATGCCACACACACACACGCCCCTGCACACTTCCACCCCAGCACATGCCACACCTCATGCACATCATCCCCTCCTGCATATACCCCACAGTCCTACCCCTGCACACGTGCCACCCTGCATACACCTCACCCCTGCATACCCTTAACTCCTTCCCCCGACTCCTGCACATGCCACACCTCACACCACATCCGCACATACACCCAGCCCTGCACATGCTCTGCCCCCTACACACGCCACACCTCACGCGCATGCCTCCCACTTCCTGCACACACTACACACACCCCTCTGCACATGCCCCACCCCTGCACATACCTCACCCCTGCACACCCCACCCTGCACACATCACACATCATGCACACACCTACACGCACACACCTGCACACGCCCTGCTCCCTGCACACACCACACACACAAACTCCCCGTCCTCCTGCACATGTCCAACACACACAAACCCCTGTATATACCCTTCCCCCTGCACACACATCCCACCCTGGACTCTCAGAATTTATGATCTTCTGACATCACCTCAGAAGAAAGAAAGCCTTCTCAGAAAGTTAAAGTAGGGTGACTGGGGGCTAATTTTCATCTAGTCATGACTGGGTGACATTTTAAGAAATGTTGGTCCTCAAGTGTGTGGGTTCTAAGCCCCCAGGGCTCCACTGAAAATCACAAGGGGCTGGGCCCACTGGACCTCCTTGTCTCGATTGCGAAGGGTCTGTGTCCAGCCCTTGTGAAGGAAGCTGTAATGAGGATATGCAGCCAACAGCCTTTCTTTAAGGCCTCATATCCAGCAATCACTACCTCAGAGACCCAAGATGGGCAGGCGTAGGTTCCCAGTCAACATGCCCCAGAGACCCTGGCCCAGAGGGAAGTTGTGAAGACGTCTGTTCAACAGACAGTCTGACAATCTGCTTCATCAGAAGGATGCTTGTGCTTGAGCTAGGGACAAGGGAGGGAGAGCAGCTGTAAAGTGAAGATGAGGTGCCCGCTGTCCAGCCAGGATGGCAACACACACCTTTGGTTACCTGAGGGCTGCACTGGATGGCAGTGGGGGCTGTGGGTATTCTGTGCACATGTCTGTACCTCTTACCGTACTCTTAGCTGAGCCAGGTGGTTCTAAATATACACTTTGCTTCCAATGAACACTAGGAGGCAGCACACGGCCAGCGTAGGCTTAACTGTCAGTGACCACAAAGGGGCAGGAGCAATACTGCATCTGCGTGCACATAGCCGTCAGTGACCACCAGGGGTAGCACACCTGTATGTGCATTATTGTCAGTGACCACCAGGGGCAGCACTTTACCTGTATCCACTTAGCTGTCAGTGACCACCAGGGGGCAGGAGCAATACTGCATCTGCATGCACTGCGCTGTCAGTGACCACCAGGGGCAGCACACCGTATGTGCATTATTGTCAGTAACCACCAGGGGACAGCACACCTCCTGTATGTGCAGTGCTTCCAGTGACCACCAGGGGCAGCACACCTGTATGTGCATTATTGTCAGTGACCACCAGGGGCAGCACTGCTCCTGTATGCCCTTAGCTGTCAGTAACCACCAGGGGGCAGCACACTTCCTGTGTGTGCTTTGCTTCCAGTGACCACCAGGGGCTGCATTGCACCTGTATCCACTTAGCTCTCAGTGACCACCAGGGGGCAGGAGCAATACTGCATCTGCATGCACTGCGCTGTCAGTGACCACCAGGGGCAGCACTTTATCTGTATCCACTTAGCTGTCAGTGACCACCAGGGGGCAACACCTAAACTGTATGCACTTAGCTCAGTGGCCCCCAGGGGGCAGCACTCCACTAGCATTAGTTTAGCTGTCAATGACCACTAGGGAGCAGCACCACACTTGTATGCTCATTATTGTCAGTGACCACCAGGGGCAGCATTGCACCATATCTGCTCAGCTCTCAGTGACCACCAGGGGGGAGTAGAGCACCTGTATCCACTTAATTGTCAATGACCACCAGGGGGCAGTGCACCTCCTGCATGTGCATCACTCCCAGTGACCACCAGGGAGCAGCACCACATCTGTGTGCCCTTAGCTGTCAGTGACCACTGGGACCAGCACACCCCCTTCTGTGCATTGCTCCCAGTGACCACCAGGGGCCAGCATCACACCAGTGTTACCTTGATGCCTCCGAGACGACCCAGCCCCTCTGTCCCTCTCCATGAACTGACTCATGTTGGAGCCTCAGCTGCTCTCTGGGAAATGAGACCAGCCTCCCTGTGGGGTCCCTGGGAGATGAGAAGTGGGACTGACAGCACTTTGGAACTCCACAAGAGTGGAGACCTGTGGGCCTCAGCTTACACACACTGGTCCCCAGCACATTTCCAGGGAGTTGGCCACATGTGCCATTCGGCCTCTTGCACCTTCTGGTCACACTGCACTCCCCCGAGGTGGCCAGGGGTGGTCCCAAGCCTGCTGAGGAAAGAACCAGACAGTGGCCCAGTGCATTGAGTTGGGTGTGTTAATGTCAGATGCACCTGTGTCCAGAAGGGTCCAAGTAGACTCCAGGCCTCTTGAAGGTCCGTCTGATTGACTGCAGCCGCAGCAGAGTCAGACACCCACCCCAGCACCAGGGCCATGAGCTCCAGCTTGTGTTCCTGGGGGTTCGGGGCTCCTCTAGAGCTAGGAAGACACTCCACAGGCCATCACCAACAGAGCTCCTGCTGGGTTCGAACCACTGGCCTTTCAGTTAGCAGCCAAGCACCTAACTGCCTCTTCACCAGGCCTACCACTTCTGCTGAACTAGCTGGGCACAGATGCGGTCTTGGCTCAGGTCTGTGAGGGGACAGCAGCTCACTGGGATGGAGGCAAGTGGGGATGGTGTGGACACCACAGCAAAGGGGTCAAGGGATGGTGGTGGGCAGCGAACAGCCTTGTTCAGCTGAGGCCCAGATGACGTGGTGGTTAGACCCAGGTCAGGTGATGGTGAGCAATGTGAGGCCCAGGTGAGGTGATATGAGGCCCAGGTGAGGTGAGGGTGAAGTGAGGGTAAGTTGAGGTGATGATAAGGCCCAGGTGAAGTGACATGAGGCCCAGGTGAGGTGATGGCACCCAGGGTGAGCGAGAGGCTGGAGCTGGTGTGCCCCCACCTGCAGAGTGACAGGAGAAAGGGTGGGCCTCTTTCTTTGCGTGGTGATGGCGTGGAAGCTTACCACCCACAGAGTCCGTGGAGGGGTGAGGTCAGCAAAGGAAGCCTGTGGGGTGGTGGTGAGCTAACAGAACAATGTGTCCATGCCTGTCCCTGTACCTGTAAAGATGGCTGCCTCAGACACCCCATGGGACAGTGCAGCTCTGTCCTGTGGGGTCACCATGAGCTGGAATCCACCAGATGGTAGTGGGTTGTTGGTTGGGCCAGGCCAGTGCTGGATGTTGAGTTGAGCTATGCTGCAGCCTCTGAGTGGGAGACTTGGGGACCCTGTGACAGTGAAGAGTGTGGGTCCTCGGGAAGGTTGCTGTGAGCTGTCAGGTGACTCCCCAGCACGCCAGCCCAGGGCGGAGGTCTGTGTGTGCGTCTTCTGGTGGGGACGTGTTTCTGGTGGCTTCGTGGTGAGGAGCTGCACTGCTGACGTAAAGGCCTGCTGTTTGAATCCGCCAGTGCTCCGTGGGAAGACGGCGCTCTCCTCTGGGTGATTTACAGCCTCTGAAACCCCACTGGACAGTCAGCTAGGGGCCGGTTCCGACTTGACAGCTCACAACAACAAAAACAAAGTCTCCGGCTGTGGAATGTTCTGGAAGATGGTTTCTGCTGAGGGGTAAAACCACACACCCCATGGTCCAGAGCAGGGTCTCCGTGATGACCACTCTGACATCTTCAACCCAAGGTCCACACCCTGCGGGTCCTGACTGGTGGCACTGTGGTTAAGGCTGACAGTTCATACTTGCCACGTGCTCCTCAGGAGAAAGATGTCTGCAGGGACAGGGCGGGCTCCAAGACCCCCCGAGACACTTCCTGCCCCGTTCGGTCACTCGCTTCAGAACCACCTTAGGACAGACACTGGCAGTCGGACTTTGGAGGGAGGTCAGCATCCGTACGTTCCTGGTGGCAAGGACACACGTCCCAGGGTGAAACGGGGAACCAGGAGGACATCTAGGAAGCTTCCTTCCTCAAGTTTTATATTCACGCTTTTCTTTCGGGATTTTTTTAATATACATATATCTAAGGATCACATATCTCTAATCCTTGGCTTTCTTTTTCAAAAATAAATGGGTGCCAAGAACAGTGTCAGTTCACTGAATTGTGAGTGTGGGTGTAGTGTTGACTGAAGTTGGGGATGTCCATCTCCAGGACCACAAAAGAAGAATGGAGGGCATGGGCCTGGAGACTGGAATTAGCGTCCTGAATCATGTACGTCACAGCCGTTGAAAGGGCAAACATTTCACTGTAGAGGTTTCATTGCAATAAAATTTTCAGAAAAAGTAGTTTTGGTTTCTACGATTTGAAGGAAGAATCATGACCCCAGACCTCCTCCTGCTTCCTGGCCACACCCCCACAGCCTGTGGGGGACAGCAGACCCTTACACATCTGAGCGCCTGCAGCCTGGCCGTGGGGACAGCCCCAGCGCTGTCCTGCGTCAGGACAGTTAACGTGGCACACTCGTGGTGCTTTGTGCAGCCCGGGCCAAGGCCGGGGGTTCCTGGGCAGAGGGGCTGTGTTCTGTGTTGCCGGTGGTTTCCTCCCGTCTGTGTCGTTGTCGTCCCTCCTGAGCGAGGGTTAGGAGAGTCATCTGGCCGCGAGGGGATGCGGGTTTAGCATGGACGCCATGCAGATCCCAGCCGGGCTCACATGAACGGTCACTGTCCGTTGTTTCTAGCTCTGCCCTTTTGTCTTTCAGATAAGCCCGAGGAGATCGTCCCGGCCTCCAAACTGTCACGGGCTGCCGAGAATGTGGCCGTGGAGTCCCGGGTGGCCACCATCAGACAGCGGCCCACCAGCCGGTGCTTCCCCTCCGTCTCCGATCTCAATGTGAGTGCAGGACCCCTTGGGGTCCCAGAAGTGGGTGGGCCCTGGCCAAGGGCTCCAGCACCCCACCTTTGACACGGGCAGGGCTCCCATCTTCTCAAAAGGGGCCCCAGTTCTGCACACAGGCAGTGAAGGCTGGGCGTGTGGGGACAGGCCCCTTGGTGGCTGGTGTGGCCTTAGCTCAGTGTCCAGGTCTTCTGGCCTCCATGTCCCTTCCCATGGGTGAACTCCCTTGGGTAAGGCCCCTGGGACCCAGGCCCCCACTGTCAGATGGAAGTGCTCGAGTGGGAGAGAGGCCAATACAGGTTGCAGGGCCTCTTCACAGGGCCTCCCTCAGGTACTCTTCACTAAGGTCTCCCTGCAGGGACTCCTCGCACGGCCTCCCCACAAGGCCACCCGTAAGGCCTCCCCCAGGGCCTCATCCAGAGTTTCCTCCAGGGCCTCCCCGCAGGCCCTCCTTGCTAGAGCCTCCCCAAAGGCCCTCCTCCAGGGCCTCTTCACTAGGGCCTCCCCACAGGACTTCCCCACAAGGTCTCCCCGCAAGGCCTCCTCACTAGGGTCTCCCTGCAGGGCCTCCCCACTGGGCCTCCTGTGAATGTGGCTGACAGTGAGGCGTTGACCAGCTCCCAACCACAGGCTGCCTCCACTGTGGACACACACCGTTAGGTCTCAAGGAGCAGCCTGGGGCCAGCCCTGCGTCTCACTTACAGACACATGCTGGCGCCCGGCTGATCTAAGTCTACTTACTGTTCCTCACTTTGGACCCGACTCCTGGCCCCGTGCGTGTCCACATAGAGCTGTACCCCACGGGGCTTCAGGCTGGTTTCTGGAAGTAGACCCCCTTTCTTCTGAGGCCCCTTGGGGTGACTGAACCCTCCACCCTTTGATCAGCACTGATGCTCGCCCCGTGATGCCTCAGGGGCATCACCTGTGGATTCACATGGTGACTGATTCAGCGTCAGGTTGCCATGCTCTGCTCTGCCCGGCCCTTAGTGCCCTGCCAGTCTGTGTGCCCACCTCGTCCCAGACCCTCTCCAGCCGGAGGTGGGAGGGAGCAAGGCAGCCCACCTGTGGGGGACCCCAGCTCCTCACTGGACAAGGACCGTCTACCGTTTTCATGGTCACCCCACTTCAGAGAGGAAGAAAGAGGGCTCCCATCGTGTAGGGAGAGGGGCAAGGTCTGTGTCCACGTCAGGCCCTGCTTGTCCACTGCCGTTTCCTTTCCTGCAGAATGTTGATCCTGGGCCCCTCTCGGGGACATGTGTCTAGTTCCACCAGTGACCAGGGTCCAGAGGGTGTCCCAGCCCGGGGACATCAGGGGACCAGGCCTTTTTGGGAGGGGCAAGAGTCGGGCAGGAAGAGGCCGGGAGTCGTGAGGGGCTGCCCCTTATGTGTCCTTGGGGACAAGATCCTTAGGGTGGGGCTGCCCCAAGCCCACAGGGATGGGACTCTGTCCATAGGGCTGCCCCCTGAGCCCATAGGATGAGGACCTTTGAGTGAGGCTCCCCTTGTGCCCATGGGGATGCAGACCTTTGGGTGAGGGAGCCCCTTCATGCCCACCGGAATGAGGACCTTTGGGAAGGGGTCCCCCCCACTTGCCCACAGGGACAAGGACCTTGGGGTGGGGGTGCCCTCTGTGCCCATAAGGATGAGGTTCTCTGGGTGGGGCTGCTGCGTGCCTGTGGGGACAGAGGCCTTTGGGTGAGGTGGCCCCGTAGACCTTTGTGAATGGGGACTTCTGGTAGGGATGGAGACCTTTGAGTGGGGCTGCCCCCTCGCAGCTATGGGACAGGGATCTCTGGGGAGGTGCCCTGTGGGCATGTGGGGAAGGGGACCTCTGGGTGGGGTTACCCGCAGAGATAGGGATCTTTGGGTGGGGTGCCCCCCATGAGCCCACCGGGATGGGAACCTCTGGGTGGGGGTGCCCCTGTGGGCCCATGGGGACAGGGACCTCTGAGTGGGGTACCCCAATGGACCTGCCGGAACGAGGACTTCTGGGTGGGGGTGCCCGTGGGGATGGGCAGGGTATCTCACCAGCCTCTGCTTGCAGTCCGTGTACGAGCGCCAGGGAGTCGCGGTGATGACGCCCACCGTTCCCGGGAGCCCGAAGGTCCCATTCCTGGGCGTTTCTCGAGGTACGATGCGAAGGCAGAAGTCCATAGGTAAGAAGTGTGGCCTCACCCGGAGAAGTTGCCCCTCGGCTTGTGGCCGGAGCCCTCGGCGCCCGCTGGGAGTTGCGCCCCTGGTCTATGGAACCAGGCCCCACTGCAGGGCAGCCGCCTGAGGCTGGGCAGCCGGAACTCCCAGCACAGATACTGAAATTGGGGTGGCCTTCTAATTGGCAAGCAGGTTTCTGGGGCCATGCCAGCAGCGGGTGGGAGGGGGTGGTGGGGCCGGCAGGACGGGCCAGGCCCCCATTCCCACAGCAACGGGCTGCTGCCTCGCGCTTCGGGACGAGCTCCAGGGGACACACTTCTGGGGGTGGTCGAGTCGGGGCTTGAATGCGGGCGACATGCCTTATTGTCTTGTACGAACCAGCTCCATATCTTCATCCTCACACAATGAATCCTACAAATGGTGTTATCGGCCGGGGTGACGTCCCCTGAGAAAGTCGCTTTGCAAGGGTCCAGCCTGGCATTTACCTTATAAAGTCCCACAGAGGTCATGACCGTGGCAGCAGGACACCAAGGAGCCGCTGGCCACTTACAGAGACCAGTGGCCGCTGGGCCACCGGGGAGCAGGCTCGGCCCTGGGCCTGCCTGGTTCTGGCCATGCTGCTGGTGCCTGGCAAGGTGGCGGGCATCTGGTGAGCTTGCCATGCGTCCGAGGTGCGTCTCCGCATGCAGTAACTAGACAGGACCACTGGGCCTCAGACTCGGCCAGCCGGCCAGTGAGCTCAGGGCTGGGCGAGTCTTGTCATGTGTTAACCGTGTGTGACCTGGTTAATAACAGCTCATTTCCTCCTGTCAGACAGCAGAATCTTTCTATCAGGTCAGTGAACCCTCCGGTTTGGGATCCGTAATCTGAATGTGACCCGGCTAACTCTATAAGGCATATTCCTAAATTATCACTCCTTGGGAACACGGCTGCCACCGGCCGCCTCATAATCAGAAGCCTCACCCCGATTGTCCCCCTCAAGGAGTATGTGGTTTTTGGAATAATAGCCTTATTGAGTGGAGGTCCCCGTGGGGATAAGTCCCTGTGGCTTGTCACAGGGGTTCTTGGATGTGAAGTGACTCGTTTTGCTCCCCTGGGACCCTGCATGCCCACCCTTTAGACTCTAGGTGGTTTGTCTGTCTGTCCATATGTCCGTCTGTTCCCTGTCTCCTAGTGTGTACCTTGCTGGTGTTTTCATTTCTTTCTGGGAGACCCCACCACATCGCCCCCAACCAGCACACTCAGAGCACTGTCAGGCTGATGGCGGGTCCCCAGGCCCTGGCTAGAGGGGTCAGCTCTAGAGCTGCCCAAGGACCTGGAAGTGCTCCTGGATGCTGCTCAGAGGGCGTTGGCTCAGGATCCTGTACCAGCCAGGGCCTGGGCTGGTGTCTTTCGGTAAAAGATGGAATCTGGCTGCCTCCCAGAGGGCATGTCCCACAGCCAGAACCACCCTTTCGCTGAGCCAGCCCCCTCGAGCCAGCATTCCAAGGGATCAAAAGATGCCCAGTACACACAGCCCTGCTCCATCAGCAGAGAAGTTGGGCTGCAGGACCCAGAGGAGACAACCTGGGAGAGGCCAGTGACACCGATTGAGCAAGCTGGAATGTCTGATGCCCAGCCCTAGTGGCCCATCCTCACCACACCGCAGATACGGCTGCCCCAGACCCTTACAGCCTCACATGGCTTCAGATGGGACAGCCCATGGGGGTGCCAGCCACACCCCTGACTCAGCACACATAATCTCAGAATCCCAACACACATGCACTCACATGTATGCACATGCTGGCACACACCTGCAAGTGTATGTACACTTGAAAAAGTGGTCACATGTGCACACAAACATGCTCACACACTTGTTCCTACACACAGCCATGCACATGCCCAGAGGACAGGCAGGTCCAGGCCCCGCCCGCACTGGCCAGGCACATGCACATTCATGCACACACATGCACACCCCCCACGAGCACACGTTCACACATGCGTGCACACCCACACACGTGCACATGCCCACACAGGTGCACACGTTCACACGCATGCACACCCACACAGGTGCACATGTTCACACATGTGTGCACGCACACACGTGCACACGTTCACACATGTGTGTCTACCCACACACGTGCACATGCCCACACATGTGCACACGTTCACACATGTGTGCACTCACACGCGTGGACATGTTCACACATGTGCACACACCCACACACGTGCACACACCCACACATGTGCACACGTACCCACACGTGTGCACATGTTCACACATGTGTGCACTCACACGTGCGCATGCCCACACATGTGCACACGTTCACACACATCCACACCCACACGTGTGCACATGTTCACACATGTGTGCACTCACACACGTGCATACGTTCACACATGTGCACACCCACACACGTGCATACGTTCACACATGTGCACACCCACACACGTGCACATGCCCGTGTGGGCACACGTGTGTGCACTCACACACGTGGACATGTTCACACATGTGCACATGCACACGCATGTGCACACGTTCACACACATGCACACCCATACCCGGGCATGTGTGCACACATGTGTGCACACACACGTGCCCACACATGTGCACACGTTCACACATGCACGCACACCCACACACGTGCCGAGACCCACACACATGCACACACACGCACACTCCTACACACGTGTGCACGCCCACACGTGCACACGCCCACACACGTGCACACCCGCCCACACCCACACGTGCAGACTCTGACACATGCACACGCCCACACACGCACAGACCCACACACGTGCACACACCCACACACGTGCACATGCCCACATATGTGCACAGACCCACACACTTGCACACACCCACACGTGTGCACAGACCCACACACTTGCACACACGTGCACAGACTCACATGTGTGCACATCCTCACACTCAAGCACACATATGCACGCACATGCTCGTGCACACACTGCATCCAGAGACTTCTTTTCTGTTCCCCCTTTTCCTGGTGGCCCAGGAAGGGGCCTGTGACTGACCCCGGCTTTGTGGCTGTGCTGTGCTTTGTGACACATGTCTGCTGTCCTCTGTGCCGTGTGTGGACGTGGTGGACACACCCCTCCGGGGACCAAGGCGTGGGCTGCCAGGCGCCTGCTGACCACTGCCCTGGTGTCTGTTCGCAGGGATAACCGAGGAGGAGAGGCAGTTCCTGGCCCCTCCCATGCTCAAGTTCACCAGGAGCCTCTCCATGCCCGACACCTCAGAAGACATCCCCCCGCCGCCCCAGTCTGTGCCCCCTTCTCCGCCGCCACCCTCCCCCACCACATACAACTGCCCCAAGTCCCCGACCCCCCGAGTCTATGGGACCATCAAGCCTGCCTTCAGCCAGAATCCCGCCACCAAGGTCTCTGTGGCCGCCCGCGCCGACACGGTGACCGCCACCGCGCGGGAGAAGGGCGCCTACTACCGGCGGGAGCTGGACCGCTACTCCCTGGACTCAGAGGACATGTACAACCGGGCCATCGCCGCCCAGGCCAACTTCCGCGGCAAGCGGGGCCAAATGCCCGAGAACCCCTACTCGGAGGTGGGCAGGATCGCCAGCAAGGCCGTGTACGTGCCGGCCAAGCCCGCTCGGCGGAAGGGCATGCTGGTGAAGCAGTCCAACGTGGAGGACAGCCCCGAGAAGACCTGCTCCATCCCCATCCCCACCATCATCGTCAAGGAGCCCTCGACCAGCAGCAGCGGTAAGAGCAGCCAGGGCAGCAGTGTGGAGACGGACCCGCAGACCACCGAGCCCGGCCAGCTGCGCCCCGACGACGGGCTCACCGCCAGCAGCCCCTTCGCCGCGGCCATCGCCGGGGCCGTGCGCGACCGCGAGAAGCGGCTGGAGGCCCGGAGGAACTCGCCCGCCTTCCTCTCCACCGACCTGGGAGATGAAGATGTGGGGCTGGGCCCCCCTGCGCCCAGGACGCGGCCCTCCAAGTTCCCCGAGGATGGCGAGTTCAGCGTGGAGGACGGGGCCGAGCCGCTGGCCTCGCCCACGCTGGCCACGGCGCCCAGGGAGCCCGAGAACCACTTTGGTGGCGGGAGCGAGGTCAGCGTGCAGGGCGAGCCCGGGAGACCGCTGAACCCCACCTCCAAAGTCAAGGGCCCCGAGGCCAGCCCTGAGAATTATGTCCATCCACTCACAGGCAGGCTGCTGGACCCCAGCTCCCCTCTGGCGCTGGCGCTGTCGGCCAGGGACCGGGCCATGAAGGAGTCGCAGCAGGGGCCCAAGGGGGAGGCCCCCAAGGCCGACCTCAACAAGCCCCTGTACATCGACACCAAGATGCGCTCCAGCGTGGAGCCGGCCTTCCCGCCCGCGGCCCGTCCCAGCGCCCGCGGCCCGCTGCGGCGCCAGGAGACAGAGCACAAGTACGAGGCGGAGCTGGGCCGGGAGCTCAAGGCTGATGACAAGAACATGCTCATCACCATCGTGGACACGTCCCAGCAGCGCTCGGCTGGGCTGCTCATGGTCCACACCGTGGACGCCGCCAAGCCAGACGGCTCCCTGGAGGAAGAGGACCGGGCCACGCAGGGGCAGCCGCTGTCCACCCGCCCACCGGAGGGGCCCGAGGGAGGCTCAGAATCCGAAGGTGCTTTGCAGCGCTCCGCTGCCCCCGAGCCAGCCGCCACGCCCAGCAGAGCCATGGTGGCAGCCGGCTCCGTGGAGGAAGCGGTGGTCCTACCATTCCGCATCCCGCCCCCGCCTCTGGCCTCCGTGGACTTGGACGAAGACTTTCTTTTCACAGAGCCATTGCCACCCCCCCTGGAGTTTGCTAATAGTTTTGATATCCCCGATGACCGCTCTGTCCCCGCCCTGGCCCCCGCCGAGCAGGCCAAGCAGAAGAGACCCGACGCGCCCCAGGCCCCCTCCTTGAACTCCGGCCAGCCGGCCAGCTCGGTGGCCACCAAGAAGCCAGCTGGTCTGTCAAACTGCCTGCCTGCCTCCTTCCTGCCTCCCCCCGAGAGCTTCGACGCCGTGACGGACTCGGGCATCGAGGAGGTGGACAGCCGGAGCAGCAGCGACCACCACCTCGAGACGACCAGCACCATGTCGACCGTGTCCAGCATCTCCACGCTGTCATCAGAGGGCGGCGAGAATGCGGACACCTGCACGGTCTACGCGGACGGACAGGCGTTCGTGGTCGACAAGCCCCCAGTCCCTCCGAAGCCAAAAATGAAGGGCGTCATCCACAAAAGCAATGCGCATGCGCTTTATCAGGACGCACTGCTGGAGGAGGACGGCGATGGTTTCGGGGTCCCCCCGCCCGCCCCACCCCCACCCCCCGGCGGGGTCCAGGCCGGCACAGCCAAGATCATTCAGCCACGGACCTCCAAACTGTGGGGCGACGTCACGGAGGTCAAGAGCCCGATTCTCTCGGGCCCCAAGGCGAACGTCATTAGCGAGTTGAACTCCATCCTGCAGCAAATGAACCGAGAGAAATCGGCTAAGCCGGGGGAAGGTGTGGACGCGCCGGCCGGAGGCAAGGCCACCAGCCTCACTGCCAGGTAAGTTCCACCCCGTGGACCCAGCAGACGTGCGTTCTCCTCGGGGATCCACGCAGCACAGCGGGGACAGCGCCTCCGAGGACACAAGGACACGGGGACACGACACTCCCACACAGAGACCCCACGGATGCACTTGCACCAGCCTCCTGTCTGGGCCAGGACCGCCGAGAGGGCCGCCCATTACCCATCGAGTCCCCCCCCACTCACTCGGCCGCGTCTGGAGGGCTGTTGATGACCGCTCTCAGGGGACTCGGTCACCAGGCCAGTCTTCTGGGTGGAATAGAACTGCCAGCCTTTAGGTTACCATAGGAGGAGTGTGGTAACTTAGTGCCGCCCATAGAGGGCCCCAGAAAAGTCTACTTTGGCTCGGGGTCAGTCACAGGAGGGTGGCCATGTGGGCTGCGATGGGGGGGGGGGTGCGCATGTGTGTGTGCACGTGCGCGTCTGTTCTCCCCGCCTCTCCCCGCTGGCTGGCTTGGGGACACGTGAAGGCTCCTCTGGGACCTCACTCTTGAGTTTAAGCAGGAAGGTGCCCCTCCCACCAGCCAGCACACCCTGTCCCCAGTGACCTGCCTGGAAAATGCCTGCTGTTCCCTCAAGTCAGCCACTGGAAACAGGGCCATGTGGGACTGCTGCTTCTAAACCCAGTCAGGAGGTGGACTGAGGCACGCCGTTCTAGAACTGTCCTCAAAGGAGTCTACCCGTGAGCTCGCCGTATCTCTCCCCATGCTTCAGGGCTTGGCTTTTCTCTGTCCCCCGATTGTGTGATAGACAGTTCCCTGTGGGGCTGTTCTGATGTGACAGCTCCCAATGTGACAGCTTGTGGTGTGACAACTCCCCTCCTGGTGTGACAACTCCCAGTGTGACAGGTCCCAGTGTGACAGCTTCCTGTGTGAAAACCCTGTGTGACAGCTCCCAGTGTGACAGCTCGCAGTGTGACTGCTTGCAGTGTGACAGCTCTCCTCCCGGTGTGACAGCTCCCTGTGTGAAAACCCTGTGTGACAGCTCCCAATGTGACAGCTCACAGTGTGACTGCTTGCGGTGTGACAGCTCTCCTCCTGGTGTGACAGTTCCCATGTGACAGGTCCTGGTGTGACAGCTCCCATGTGATAGGTCCCGGTGTGACAGCTCCCTGTGTGAAAACCCTGTGTGACAGCTCTCCTCCTGGTGTGACAGCACCCTGTGTGAAAGCTCCCTGTGTGACAGCTCCCCTCCTGGTGTGACAGCTCCTAGTGTGACAGACCCCTCCTGGTGCAACAGCTCCCCTCCTGATGTGACAGCTCCCCATGTGACAGTACCCATGTGACTGTTCCTGGTGTGACACCTCCTTGTGTGACAGCTTCCATGGACACCTCCCCGTGTCATAGCTCATATGTGGCAATGTGTGACATCCTCCTTCTGTCCGACGCTGCCAAGCTCCTGCTTTGTGGTCTGGGCCTTGAAGTCCCTCCTGACCCGCCTGCCACGCTGCTGTGGAGTCCACTACCTGTCTGTTGGTCAGCTCTGTCACTGGACATCTCAGGAGGCTCAGCTACCACCTCCAGCTTGCGCAGAGGGATGTCTGTAAATTACTCAGTAGCCCCTTAGCAGGACACTGTCCTCCACGAGGGCAGTTTAAGAACCGACGATCCACCAAAAGAAAACGCTGACACGTGGCTGCAGCAATGGGCTCAGATGCTGCAGATTGAAGATGGCACAGGACCCAGCAGATTTCATTCGACTGCGTGCGGGGTCCCTGGGAGTCAGGGTCAGACGACTCAGTGGCCCCTAACAACACCTGCATCAGGCTGACACCAAAGAATATGTCTAACCCCACAGCTGTCAAGTGGACTCCTGCCCACGAGGACCCTCCAGTGGGCTCCTGAATCTTCAGGGGAGGAAACTGCCCCGTCTCCCCGAGAGCGGCAGGAAGCTGGGAACTGCCGACCTTCCAGTCAGCAGCCCAGCACCACGCCTGGAGCACCACAGCCATCATACATACAGTTTCCAGTTCTGACTCCCGATGAGGTTGAAAGGAAGTCCTCAAGGCTGACCCCCTTGGCCCTGCAGCACTGTAACTCCAGGGGTCTCTGATGGTCTCACTTACCCTATTGTCGCTGTCACGCTGTGTGGAAGACAGGACACTGGGTCGCCTTGTCTGAGGGCTGGACTTCGTGCAGAACATTCTCCCATAGGTCTCTCAGCACCCCCAGAGCAGGAGAGTGGGCGCCTCTTATCCTGGTCCTGAGGATGCGAGGATGAGGGCCACTTGCCCCCGTGCACAGCCAGAGGCGAGGAGCTGACATGTGGACAGAGGCCGCAGAGCTGCACTTCAGCACCTGTCCTCTGCCGTCAATGCCACGGGGAGAACAGACCATCCTGGGGCTGAGACGGCTTTGCTGCCCGCAGGCAGGTCCAGGGCCTCGTCCACACCACCTCCACGGCGCAGCCGCCCCTGGCTCAGGCCCCCAGCCCACGTGCTGCCCACCATGGACCAGGGACTCCACTCACCCCCAACGTGGATGCCTCCTGGGGATCACACGCTGAAGTCAGGATCCCAACTGACATGTTTCTAGGTTTTCCTGCCCACAGTGCCCTGGGCGAAGCAGGGTGTCCAGCACCATGGCCTCCAGAGCCCTGCTGTTGACAGAGGAGAGCCTCAGTGTGGCTTCTCTGGGCTGTTCCATTATTTACAGCCTGAGTTGCTCACACAGAGAATATTCAGCAAATGCCAGGGATCTGTCCCCAGGCACCTCCAGACAGGGCTCCGCTGAGGAGAAAGCTGCAGGGCAGCAAGGGGAAGCCACGTGCCAAGGACACTGCAGGGAGGTGTGAAGTGGACGTCTGACCCCCAAGCTGTTTCAGCTTGGGCTGCTGGTCCCCCACTGGTCAGGCATCGCCCTTTAAGAGGAAGTGTCTCATTAGCCTCTGAGGAGCGAGACCATGTGGCAGGTAACACACCTGAGCCAAGCTGAGCAGCCGGCTCTAAGGGGCCCAGCAGCTAGCCAGAAGCAGCGGCAGTCACCAAGTGGCCAGCACCACCAAGCTTCCAGAGACCAAGGACACACAGCCAAGGCCATGCTTGGAGCAGGACCAGGTCGGCTCTCCCCTGCAGAGGGCCAGGGACGTGCTCAGAGTGAGACCAGAGGCTAGACAGACAGAGAGGTCAGTCACCTTGGTCCCGGCTGCCATCGTCACCTTTGCTTCTCTGCCACTAACAACTTCGCCACATGTTTCAAAGACCGATCGATTGGTGCGCTCAGGGATGGCAGCCATAGACACAGGCGCAGTGACAAGTCAGAGGAGGCCCGTGCCCATGGGTCCTGGACAGAGCTGTCTCAGCCTGGCTGTCCTCGGTATCAGTCAGTGTCCCTCCATCTCCTGAGACCCCCCCCCCCCCCCCCCCACCCCCCCCCCCCAGTATCCAGCCCTGCCGGGTCCAGCCTCCTCCTCTCCCCTGTGTCGGGCACTAGGTGAAGGGCTGGGTCCTCTCAGCCAGGTTGGTGTCTCACCATCACCTCCAAATACATCTCGGAATTAAGTGACCCTGGACCAGCGGAGGCATGAAACTGGATGCAGAGAGACTAGTACTGGGGGACAGAAGTGTGTTGCACTGGGGAGACAGATCCGCCGCGCTTTCTGGGGTGACAGACAAGCTGCAGGACAGAACTCTCATTTCCATGGAAACAGGTTTGGATGGCCGATTCAGAGACCTGCCCAGCCGACTGAGTGGGCATCACCTCGCTGGCTCTGAAAGTGCTGAGGCCTCTGAGTCCCCCCTAAGATCCCAAGGGCCGTCTGCTGTCTTCTCATACCTGGTTAGAGCCCCAGACAGCACGGGTCTCTGCCCAGTCAGTGCTGCAGCCCTGCGGTCCAGCCCTCCCTTCCGAAGGTGGCCCTGTTGGCGACACGGCTGGCTCTCGCCGCACGCTGTGGCTGTGGGAAGACTTTTATCAGCGCTGTGCTTTTCCAAACCAAAAATCACACCCACTGCCGAGCCTGCCACATTGCCGTCGAGTCAGAGCCGACTCCCGGCTGACCGTCCGCTGGGTCCTTAGCAGCTGAGGATCACATGGGAGGAGACTGCCCGTCTCTGTCTGGCAGAGCAGTGGGTGAGTTCGAACCTTCAGAGAGGCATCACCTTCGGGTCAGCAGTGTGGCTCCCGATAGACCATGCCAGCCAAGCAAAGGTGCCTCTGCGTGTGTCCAAGGCTGTAAATCCTTAAGGAACCAGCTGCCACACCTCTCCCACCGAGCTCGAACTACCAACCTTCTGGTTAGCAACAAGATGCCTTCACCACGGTGTCACATTGTTGTTACTGTTAGGTGCTGTGGAGTCGAGCACGACGCCAACAGCCCTCGGAACAGCTCAGCTGAGCCTTGTCCTGTCCCGTGCCAACGTCATCACCTCTGGCCCACTAGAGCCCATTACTGTGGTCACTATGTCATCCCTCTTTTGGGGTCTTGCTGCCACTGAGCTGTGGTGGGAGAATACTGGATACCCCGTGACTTCCAGAAGGGCAACGGCTATGTCCTGGAAACGGTGCAGCCAGCGCACTCCTTAGAGAGCAACGGTGTCACCTTAGCTCTTTATAGAGAGAAGTCGTCGAAATCCAGTCCACTTTCAACGGCCAGTTCCAGCTCTGTGACCCTGAAGGAGGGCTGAGCCGCCCACACGGTTTCCAAGGCTGTCACCCCGTAGAGAAGCCACACTCCGTCAGGCGTGCCGGGGGTGCAGACCACCGGGCTCAGTCCTCCTGTCTCAGCTCCACGGGACATTGCACTGGAGGGGCTGTGTGGCCGCTCTTGTGGATGTGCATGCTTTGCTTTAGGCCTGGCTCTCTTCCCAGGTGTGTGATGCTGGAAAGCCGTGTGCACCCTCACCCCCAGCCCCAGCCCACCTGTCCCCTGCCTCCACTGCTCCTGGCTGTGAGTGCGCAGAGCCACTGTTTGACACGGGGTGACGGAGTTAGGAGGCACTTGCCGTCATGCTGGGGCAGCAGAGTGAACACGCGTTCATTCATGTGAAAAGCGGACCACCCCTTGGGCACCAGGCTAAGCCCGGGGTTCATGGCTGAATAAGAAAACACCCATGGCCACACCCTTGTTTGCAAGTGACATCGAGTCCCAGGCATGACAGGTGCAAAGGTGGCGGGGGCTGCCGACGTGTGCAGGGCAGCACATGGCAGGGAGGTGATGCTTGAAGCACTTGAAGAACCAAAGTGGGCAAGGAGTGCCAGGGGTACAGGGCTGGCGAGTGCAAAGGCCAGGTGGCCACCCAGCACTCCCCCCACCAGGGAAAGAGCACGGCCAGCTGAGGGGGCTGGGCACGGGGAGGAGCTGACCACATCAGAGCAGGAGCAGCACTCAGACATGTGAGCAAAGGCTGGTTCCTTGACCACAGCCCAGCGGCTGTGTAATCGCACAGTGGCCACAGGAAGAGCCCCCGGCAGGCCCCCGTGGGTGTCCAGATGCAGAGCCGGCGGTGCAAGGAGGAGATTAGCAGCACCAGGGCACTCTGCCTGGCCTAGGGCTGTGCTTTGACCCAGGTGCAAACACAGGTCCCAGGAAAGCCAGGCATCGCTCCATCTTCTACTGGTACTTCCCGAGGAAAGGCTGTTATACTCCCCCTTTCTGTTGTTGGGGCCTCCATCTGTGGAAGGCCCCCACCTGTGGAGGACCCCTGCCTGTGGAGGGTCCCTGCCTGTAGAGGGCCCCCGTTTGTGAAGGGCTCCTGTCTGTGGAGGGCTCTGGCTTTGGGTAGCCCCCTTCTGTGGAGGGCCCCCACATCTGGAGGTCCCCCCCACCTGTGGACGATCCATGCCTATGGAGGTCCTCCACCTTTGGAGGGCCCCCACCTATGAAGGTCCCCTGCCTTTGGGGTGCCCCACCAAACTGAATTAGTAAATCGTAAAAAAGCCTTTTGAGTGTTTACTCCTGATCCCTTACCTAGTGCAAAAGAGCACATGTCATTCACGGCTCCACGTGGATTTGGCTTAAAAGACGGCGTGGAGAGAGGCTGCCCAGGAAAGGGCGTGTGAATGAGTCTGTGTGTGCTAAATCAGGGCCGCACTTCCCACGCGTATCACCCAGAACCCAGTGGTTGCTTGGCAACGTGATGATGTGCGCCACAGAAGTACCCAGTGCATCACTGCAGTGGGGTGAACGGGACATCATCTGCCGCTGAGGAGGGCGGCCGGCAGCCCCAGGCACCCGCGCTTGCCTGGTAATCCCTTTAGAATCTCTTCTGCCTCCCCATTCGGTAGGGAGTGTGGCCAGCTCGGGGAGGGGCAGGGGTGGGGGCATTATCAGCTGTTGTAGACCAGAGGCAAAGCATGCAGCCCAGAAGCCCTCCCAGCTGGGTGCACTGCTCTGTCTTTCATTCACAGCATTAGGAACCAGCCCCGTGCTGGGGGCTTCGGCCAGCCTCCCTGCAGTGCCCCTTGGACAGCTCCTTCCTCATTATGCGCCTTCACACGGGGCTCCGTACGTTTCCAACGCCCACAGGGACTCCAGTTCTGGACCAGGACGTGGGCCCCGCCTACGTCCCCATCAGCAGGGGGCTGGCACGGGCGAGGTGGTCTTGGAGGCGGTGCCACTGCTCTCATCCCGGGCAAGGGCTGCTGCTGCGTGTTCTGGTCGCTTTTGCAGTGTTGTCTCAGCCGTTCCCTTTTGTGCTTTCATTTGCTCCCGTGATGGGTGTGAACAGAAGAGGGTCAAGCTGAGTGGAAGTAAGTGCAGCCCGCCGCGGGGCCTCTGCTGTGTGCTCTGTCCTCCTCCTTGCTGCCCACCCGTGTGACGTGTCCGGAGCCTCTCTGCTCCTTGGCAACACAGCTGCCTGCACAGCCCCCCACTTCTGGTCGTGGGACCTCACTGGCCTTCTTCCCTCACACCCACTGCGGGGCGGCCAGCCCCTGGCTTAGAGATGGCCACTGCTGTGGCCACCTGGGAAGTCACCTGCCTCTGCTTCACAGAGCCTCGTGAGTGACAAGGTCACCCCACCCCTGCTGCCGTGGGGGTGTCCCCCAGAGTCTGGGTAACAGGCACAGCCACCAGGCATACACACTCAGCTTTCTGGGTTCTGAGCAGGCCCTGGGTCTCAGCTGAGCTAAAGTGTTCCTGTGGGGAACTTTCAACTATGCAGGATCCCCCTGCCCAGGATGCACAGAGAGCCCTAAACAGCCCCCAAGACCCCCGCTGAGGGGGCCGATGCCCCACCCTGAGTGCACCCACCACCTCATTTCCAGTTTTATTTTCTCTTTGTACCACGTTAGCCTTCCGATGGAGACACGCTTGAGAGCTGGGGGCAAGCTGAGGCAGGCTTCGTTTGATGAGGAGCATTCCAGACGTCTGGCCTGCTGTCTCGTCCACCCAGGCTGGACCTGGAGAGGGTCTTCCATGCCTGCTTGAGCACTGAGAGGGGTCTGCAGGCTGCCTCCTGGAGCCTCCCAGGCCCACAGCCCACCTCACAGAGGCTGCTGTCCCTGTGTGGGACGGCCAGGGCCAGCAGAACTCTGATCTGCCCCTGACGAGGTCAGCCGGGTGCTAGAGGGGAGCCTTCAGAGGCTGGCATGTGCCTGCTGGTGCAGCCAGTATTCCAGCTCCAACAGTTGGCACACCCCTACGAGAGGCCCTATTGGGAACACAGCCCAAGGGACCAGATGTGAATGCTGCCTGGGTGGATGCGTGTCCCTGGAAATGGTTCTCCTGGCAATGGGATGGACGTTTGCTGGAACACTGCTCCATGCTTAAAGCAACAGTCGCTCACGTCAAGTCGGGACCTGTCACAAGGCTTAGAGGCAAAGAAGTAAACAACTGGTGGGTTTATTCTAATACACAGTAGCAGAGAAAACCAGCTGCTGCTTCGTTGAAGGATAGAGCTAGCCAGGGCACAGGTGGGCCTGCAGGTGCCGCTGGACTTGCTCCAGGTCGTGCCCGTGGGTGTCGTTCTGTGGGGCGTGGCCCTCGGATCCAGCAGGTCACACTGAAGGCCGCAGGAGAAACCCAGGCCTGCCTGGTGCTTCCCGAAGGGCGGTGTGAATCTGGGCCGTTCAGGGCAGACACAGGCACCCACCCTGAGGGCAGAACTCAGTCCAGGACAGCGAAAAGCATGGATCAGGGCTCCAGGGACAGTTCAGTTGGAGTGTGGAGCCAGGAAGCCCGCACTGGCCTTGGCTGGACAGTGAGGGAACAGATCAGGCCAGCGTGAGGATGACACATTCCTGGGCCCGAGATCTGATGTCCACTCCCTAGGAGTTACCCAGCCAGCTGGGTGGGTTTGGCATCACACCAGCCCCCGGTTGCTAGAAAGTCCAAGGCCCACTCTGAGGGAGGACGGTTCCCTCGGATCCTGACTTCCACGGCCAGGACAGCCGGTGTATCCTTGAGCCCCTCCGTGGCCGTCCTGGGTGATGCCTGGCCGCGTGTGCTCAGGGCCCAGGCACCACCGGATGGCGGGGGTGAGGGGGGAAAGCCCTCTCCTTTGGATGCATCAGGACAGACTGATGGGTCAGCGGCTATTGTAGTACGGATAATTTGGTCAAACTCTGAGTGCCCCAGCCCACACAGTCATGAGAATTTCCCCTCCTGGAATGGGGCCAGCCTGGGAGGCATCCTTCCTGCACCCACTTAGGAAGGTCTGGTGACAAACCGTGAAGGGCATGAGACGTCACTGTCTCGAGGGGATATCACTGAACATGGTCTCCATGGGAGGCAGGAACGTGGTGTTGTCATTGGACACATCACACGAAGCCCTCTTTCCACGCCTTTGAGCCCTGAGAGGAAGCTCCCAGCCCACACTCCCACGACCTCTCGCCCAGGCAGGCCCACCCTGCCCATCCACTGGGCCAGTTTGACGTGCTCTGATTCTCTCGGGAGGGTCCTGCCTCCGCTGCTTTCCCCCTGCTCTCAGCCAGCACCCCTTCTGGACGTTCTGGTGTGGTGTGGGTGCCCCCGCTCTGTCCACCCTCAGCATCTCACTGCCCTTCTCTGGTGGCCCGGCTGGTGACCGTTCTCTCTCTCGCTATTTCAGAGGCCCGGACGTCATGAGCGCTGTCTCAGGTACACGGAGCACCACGGTCACCTTCACTGTCCGTCCCGGCACCTCCCAGCCCATCACCCTGCAGAGTCGGCCCCCCGACTATGACAGTAGGACCTCAGGAACAAGGCACGCCCCAAGCCCTGTGGTCTCCCCAACAGAGATGAGCAAAGAGATCCTGGCTGCTCCGCTGGCCACCGCCGCGTCCCCCTCCCCGACCCTCTCGGACGTCTTTAACCTTCCGAGCCAGCCCCCTTCCGGGGACCTGTTTGGCTTGAACCCCGCAGGACGCAGCAGGTCGCCGTCCCCCTCGATACTGCAACAGCCAATCTCAAATAAGCCTTTTACAACTAAACCGGTCCACCTGTGGACTAAACCCGACGTGGCGGACTGGCTGGAGAGTCTGAACCTGGGTGAGCATAAAGAGGCCTTCATGGACAATGAGATTGATGGCAGCCACCTCCCAAACCTGCAGAAGGAAGACCTCATAGACCTCGGGGTGACTCGAGTCGGACACCGGATGAACATCGAAAGGGCTTTGAAACAGCTGCTGGACAGATAAGGACGGCCATTCTTGACCTTCACAGACTCCTTGTTATAAGTAGAGATGGGCTTACGCTGAAATCGCTGGACAGCCAGGCCGGCGGCCACCCCCACCCCGGGTCTGTCTCCTGATACCCAAAGAAGCGTGGGGAGCCCCCATGCTGGCTGAGACCCCTCGGCACTCTCGGGATGGGGGCTCCTGGGTGGTTTCTGTCAAGCTGGACAAGGGGAGGGAGGTGTTCTCACGTGGGAAGGGCCCTCCCCCCACCTCTGGCTCGTGCACACAGGTGACCTCACTCGGCCTGTGCCCCGTGGGCAGACACACAGGATGCGCCTGATACCTCCCCGCTCTGCGTCCGCGTCCTGTCCCGGGCAGCACCCCTCCCGCAGGCCGGGCCTCTCGCCACCTCTCCCCACTCCCCTCTCTCAGTCTCGCCTGCCAGGCCTGTCTACCCGTGCCTCACCTGTCACCGTGGCCGGAAGGGCCAGCAGCCGTTCTTCTGTCCCACTCTGGGCCTTCTCCTCCTGCAGCGAGCTCCGTGGCCGCGAGGGTCTCGGTGGTGGTGGGCGTCCGAGCAGGATCGTGCCAGCTTTGCTGAGCTTTCTTTATTTCTTTCTGCAAACGTATTCGCATCTTTCCAAGGTGGTCACACAGGTGCCACATGGAGTTAGCCAAAGCACAACGTCACGGTCCCCAGGACGGAGGCCTGGCCAGCTTGCCGCGGCCTTGCTCCGGTCTCCTCGAGAGCTGGCTGCCAGGAGGGCCTGGCGTGCGTGGGAGACTGGCCTTCTCCACCTTCCGCCATTTCTGTTTCCACTAGAGATGGGTGAGCTGGGCAGAGGTCAAGGGGGAGCGTCCACCCTGGCATGGAGGACCGGACCCAGGCTGGTGACAGGTGTGCGCTGCCCCTGAACCACCGTCCTCACAGGGTTTGCGGGTACAGTGCCCTCCGCGCTGAGCTCTGCCAGGGGCAGCACCTGGTAACGTAGCTGGGAAGATGGCACTTCAGGGCCTTTTTCTCCGTCTCTGGCTGTCCAGGCATCCCACCAGCTTGTCTTAATTGTCCGGCAAGTTCTTTGAGGCTCCACTGGGTATGGCGTGGCGACGGGACCCAGGGTTGACAAGATGGGTGGTTAGAGTGAGGAGGTTTCCTGGGCTCTGGTCTCCCCTCCGCCGGGCCGTCCACGGGCCCTGCCTCCTCCTCGTCCCCCCAGTGTCCCTCCTCCCATGACAGAACCTCTTTACTTTCTAAGCAAGGCCATCAGTTGCACATGCGGGAGGGGAGATTGAGTCAGGCTTCCAGCACATTCTCCCACGTTTGGCAGGTATGTGAATGTCAGGGTCAGGGTTTTGCTTTCGTGATGATTTCAGAATCGACCTAGCCCATCTCTAATTATAAAACATGATTTATTTTCTTTCCTTTTTTTTTTTCTTTATGCTCACAATCAAGTGTCTGATTAGGTCTGGAAAAGCCCTAGAATGAATACATAAAATTTAGCAATTTAAAAATCTCTTTCTTTACTGCAAGTTTAAATAGTTGTACAGGTAGTTTATAAGCACAATATTTTAAGAGAAAAAAAAAGTGGCTGGTCTGCTAGGCAGCCTTTGTTCCACTTCGTGCTAGCAGGTTAAAGAAAAAAAAAAATAAAAACTTTTGTGATTTAATACTACTATTTCTGTGGAATAATTATAAAAAGTCTGACCTTTTTAAAACAACCTTATTTGGATGCATCCGAACCAGCAGCGCTGTGTTATATTTTCTATCTTTGCTAGAACTTCGTCATCAAAGGACAATTATTTCTTCAAAAGTGGTTACAATTCACAATGCAGCAGTTTCTAAAAAAAAAAAAAAGAACAGAACACACACACACACACACACACAGAGACACGCACCCCTTTTCCAACCACACACTCCGAATTTGGAAAACAAATCTTCCCAAATGTTTTCAGGTCAATCCTGGGACTTGGACGATCAGTCTAACAAGGTGTCCATTGAGGAGTGAGGCACGTTCCTCAGTCCACTCTCCACTGTTCTCCGTCATCAGATGAGTGAAATACACTAGAGAAACTCCACGCTGAGAGCCCACAGGAGCCCACAGAGGCTGCCCGAGGTTTCAGAAAACAGACACATAAATGGTGGTTCCGCCTTATCTGTCTTCCATTTGTTGACCTCTCAAGGTTCAGTACGTAGACTGCTTTTCCCTTCGTCTACAGCTGGTGTGACCTCTCTGCTCTGTGCCAGGCAATGCTAGAGAAGTGGAAGGGAGTCGCTGGTGGACTGTCATTGGTACCAGGGGGTGGCTTTGGGCCCCACTGACCTCTGACAGATGGTGGGTGACAGCTGGCTGTTTCTCCCTTAAAACAACTTCAAGCCACACGCAGCCAACCCGATGCAAACCAACCAACAGACACGTAACGAAATGTCTGGTTCTTCCAGTGTCTCCTCCTCACAGTGTTAATGGGGCCCATCAGAACCTGCAGGGACCAAGACAGTCGACATGTGGCCAAGGTGCATCGGCCTCCAGCTCTGCTCTGACCAGTCTGTTCCCGAAAGCAATAGCTCCTCCCCTCAACTCGCCGCCCACTGTTCCCCGTGGGCCCTGCCCACGACCCTCTTTAACGGTAGACAAACAGTAAACTGCTCATCTTGAGATCACACTGGTAGTATCCCAGGTTTCACGATCAACTTTTGTTATATACTGTAATTTAAATAAATTGCATTTACATAGTTTCTGTAATATTGTGTATACAAAACCCAAAGCTCTCCAGATGTAAATGATGTAAGCTGCCCAGACACCTGCTTCTCCAGGGTGTCCGTGCACATTTTAAGTTCATTCATACACTATAATGATGACTCAGTGTGACTGTTGATTTACTGGACTTTACATATCACAAAGTTAATTATTTGTGGTACTTAAGTTAATAAAATGGTGATTTTTTTTTCTGAGTTCTTGAACAAGCTAGCATTACCCAGTTGATCTGGTGATGACTTCTCATGTGTGGGCCACAGGTACTGGTTTCCCACTGACAGCATTTTTGGGGGGTTTTCTAGATACACCGTCTCACGCCATGGTTTGCGTGACCACACGTATCCCCATTATCTGCGTTGCTGTTACTTTTGTGCTTTTATTCTTTTTAGACTTTATTAAAAAACAAACAAACCAACGAAGCTCCTGTGACTGCACTTTCTCCCAACCCTTCACACGCCTCTACGGGAATCAAAATTCCTGTCGAGACAGGAAATGTAATTGCACTAAGTTCCTGGTTCTGATTGCAGAGAACTCTGGATTGGAAACGTGGCCATGATTGTGATTTCGTGTAAGGTTACCTGGAACTCAGCCGGCTTTACCTCTGTGAACCTGACCAGATAATCTCTCTCACCCACGGGGACAGATGTTCCTGCCATGGGCCCGAGTTGCCTTCGTTCCATTCCATTTCTTTTTTCGGTGTCTACATGGGAGTATTATTTCTGAGTTGTGGAGAATGCCAAAAGCCGTGGTCGGGGCACCCCGAGACTGCAGCGGGGGCTGCATTTCCGTTGGCTGACATGAGGAAGCCAGACTAGACTGTGATCTCTCTCCTCCGAGCAGAGGCCTCCCCCTCGGGCCCCGATTGGCTGTCGTCCTCCCGTCCAGCCATGGGTGGATCTTGTTGACACGAACCCAGCAATGTTCCCATAAGTGGGCAACATACTAAGGCTTGGGGCGACAAAGAATTGAGCCAGGAAGCCACAGAAGATCTTTTCCGCTCTAGGAGGCTTGGTGACACAGTAGTTAAAGTACTTGGCTGCCAATCAAAAGATTGGCAGTTCAAACCCCCCAGCCTCTCCCAGGGAGAAAGCAGTGGCCGTGTGCTGCTGAGGACTCACAACCTTCGAAGCGCATGGGGCAGCTCTGCTCTGTCCTGAAGGGTCTGCTCTGTCCTGCAGGGCCACCGTGAGTAGCTGGACACTCACTTGGCTTGGGGGGTCCTTTCTAAAGAGCCCAAGGGAGAGGTGAAGTGCTCCGCTGAGCATTCAGAGTCCTATGGTTTGAACTTGGCAGTCACACCGAGGAAGGGAGATGGGGTAATCAGCTTCTGTGAAGGTGGCAGCCCTACGCTATCATTTTGGGGGCCCCCCCTCTGAGTCAGAACCGACTCGATGGCAACAGACTTTGGTTTTATTTTAAACTGAAAAGAGGGATCTGTTCCGTGGCCTCCTCGGTGGAAATCTGTTCTCTTTGGCGCCCGGGCAGCGTCTTGTGCTGTGGTGCGGGCTCCGGCTTGGACGGCGCTGCCTGGGTTAGTGACCAGTTCTCCTTGAGCCCGGCCGCCTCGGCCTCTGACTGCCCCTCCTGATCGTCTAATGGTTTCTCCCAAACTCTTTTTTTTTTCTTGATATAAATACTTTCATTTGTCTTGTTAGAAAGTATTTCTTACTGGGAGGCTTTTCCTTTTACCTGTGCTTCATCTGAGATGTTTTTAACCACCCAGTGACTGGAAGGCCTTCGAGTATCCGCAGCCAGCCATGTCCACACGCACAGAGGTGAGCGTTGTTCACCTGCCCAGGTGCAGGGGACCAAGCAGCTGCCCCGGCTTCAGGGGGCAATTGGAGGATTTCTGGGCGTGTTTCTCAGACGGCAGCGGACCCAGTCACTCCCACATTTAATCCTCCCTGTATCTGTGAGTCAGTTTCTTGACTGTTTTTGTACCATGTTCCTACATTTCACGGTCCTTACCATTTTCTGTTTAAAACTGAAAACCATCACTGTCCATCGCTTCTACTCTGGAATTCACTGTTTATAGCAATTCTGAAACTTTACTATGAGCCTTCAAGTAAATACAGAAAAGAAAAAAAAAAAGGAAAAAAAATAAAGTGTGTGCCTTGGGTGTTTTGAACCTGATCTGCATAAAACTATATTGTATTCAAATGTTGTATATTAAAATGGAAGGAAAATATATCTTACATGTATTCATGTAGCTAATAAAATAGTTATAGTGCCTTGTTTTCTGAACTGAGAAGCCCATATCAATGCACA